CGAACAAATTCTCTTTGATTAGTCAAACGACAAAGATGTTTACATAAGTAATACATAAATAGGTCACAGACTTCTTCAATAGAACGCTACATAATTTCCTTTTGATGTTTTTTTAGGCTATCTATCATGTTTAGCTAATCTTTACTTACCAACAATAACACGCCATGAAAAACTGCCAACAAGTTCATAAGTATAGTCCATATGAAGAATATTACAGTAGACTAGACCAATCTGAAAAGAAATGATGAAGTTTTCGGAATTATTTGACGAAGAACGAGCAAAATATTACCCATGTCCAAACGAGAAAACACATGTAATAACGAATATTGCGAAAGCCAATGCATCGGCCAAGAAATGAACAATGATGGTCACGTTTTAGAACACATTTTTTACATAAATGACAATGCTGTGAGCGCGGTGGAACATTAACTTCACATTGATGACAATACTTCCAATTACAGTAATAGAAAAGCATGTCTTGTTGAGAATTTGTTGATGTATGTACTGTCGGAGCTGGTAATAAGACAGGACAAATGATTGTATCTATTGATGTATCTGTCGCCATACATAAGAATAGATTGCCAATTAAATTAAAGATTACATAGAAGCCGAAGATAAGATGACAGATTTCTTTATAAGTAAAAATGTTATTGTAGATTGTCGGTAAGATAACACACAATTCGAAAGTCACATAAACAAGGATGAGAACGACGACGAAAAAGATAGGAATCAGTTCGCCTCGGTCTTTCGGTATCAATAATTTTACTTTTCGATTCATTACTTCGATCTAGAATAAAAAATCAGACGAATTCCTCGAACAACGTTGTCATATTTCGCTCGAATGTTGAAATAAAAGATGAACAATACTAGTTCACCATAAACATGGTCAATTATTTGAATATGTTTCTTGTATATGCAAACAAAACAGACGACAACAACCATGATGATCTTTGATACATAGACAAAAAATACATATAGAAAAAGAACAGAGAGAGAGAGAGAACAGCTGAGATGTTTTCAATCATGATATTAATGCGTGAAAGGAAACGGTATTTTTCAATCTTTAATTAAATAGAACAAGAGAAAAATAACACAATGTATACACACACACGCACACAAACAAACAAATACATATCAACGACCAAGGATAAACATCGATCCAGGAAAGAAATGAGAAAGAGAACGAGACAAAAGAAGAACGCGTCAGGATGATAGTGTTGGAAAAATAGAACTGGCTGTTGTCATTGTTTTGAAAATCTCATCGAAGTCAATATTTGTCTTTTCTTGCTTTTAATTATTGCTTGTCGAATGTGTTGCTAGACAGAAATCTTGAGCATTCGGATCGAGACCCGATGCGGCGTTTTGCAATGGTGGTGGTGTGACATTTGTCGGAGGATAGAACCGAGCTGATGAACACGATGGCGTCGCTGTTGTCGGATTGTTGTTTGTATCAATCAACTGATGTGTTGGTGACGAATGTCCAGAATGAGGATGTCCATTGAATATACAATTGCTCTGAGATTGTAGTGCAGCGGTAAGTTCGCGTTCTTTCTCTCGAACTGTATCTAAAGGAAAAGACGATAAAGACGAAATTCGAAGATTTTAAAATGCACGAACTATTGGCAATTTCAAGTTGTCGTCGAACTTCACCAAGTGCAGAGAAGAGATCAAGTTTTATTCGGGTTTCTGCGCTGAGACGGTCCTGTAAGATGGTGTTGCTCTCTTGTAATTGTGCTAAATGCTGGTAGAGAACTTCAGTGTCCGTTTGAGATTCACGATATTTCAGAGCCTAAAAGAAAAGAACGAATGTTGATGGGATCTGATAGGAGGTTGCTTCTTATACTTTGATTTCATTGTCTAATAGTTGAATTCGTTCATCTTTGTCATTGAGTAGTCGACGAATCTCACGTGTTTCATTCTCCAGATCACGTTTGCGTTTAAGACATTGTTCTGTACATTCATTTCTAGAATTAGAAAGATGAAGCGAGTGTTAGGAGAAAGATGAGCGAGAAAAACGAACTTTATAGGTGTTAAACTTAGTTTTGCTAGATCATCTTGAAGTTTCTTGGTTAATGTTTTCTCTGTTCTGATTTGTGAATCTAAACGTTGTCGATTTTGTCGTTCCTCGTTCAAATTTCGTTCGAGATCAGTTATCCGCTGTCTATCACGTTGACGTTGAACACTAACTGCGTCGTATCTAAGAAAATGAGTAAAATTTTTCTCTACCTATCAGAAAACGTTCAATCCATCAACAAACTTCGTTTTGATGTCGCTATTTTCACTACGAACGTCTTCCAGATCTTTCCGAATAGTCTTTAGATCAGAAATTTGTGTGCGTAGTTGCATTTCGGATGTTTTCTGTTTTTCAACAGTTTGAATCAAACGTTGAACATCAGCTTCCAGTTTATTGATTTGTAGACTAAAAATACTCATGAAAAGGTCATCGAACGAAGTACATTTCGTTTGCTTTGACTTACTCTTTATCTGCATCTGAATTGTCAATTGATGAATTTGTTCCGAAACCATTTACATGTGACACCGAAGAATCTCGTGATACTGTTTGGAGTGGTTCTTGTTTTTTGGATTGTCGACGACTTTGTGCCGTCGTTGTTGTTGTCGCTGTTGAAGTTGTCGAAGATTTCTGTGACTGTTTCTTCTGCGGTTGACTATTACCATTATTTAGAGTTGAATTCGGCTTTTGTTGTTTATAAGATGAAGAGGAACTGTCATCGTGTCCATTCGTTGTCGATAGAGTGGTTGTCATTGAATGCATTTTAGTATTTCGAGTGGCTGACTGTACAAATGTGTTTGAAGTGGACGAAGATAATCCATCGGGCTGGTTATTTTTCGATGAACGTTTGGAAACTATACAAAATGTTGACGATGGGGGCTGGGAATTATTAACTGTTGAATTATTTGATAAGGAATTTGAACTAGAATTAATAACAACGGTCGATAACGTCGAAGAAGTTGAAGAACAATTTCCATCTGCTGAAGGTTGAGATACATCATCGTAATTTTCGGAAAATGTACCTGTTGGAAAGAAAAAGATAGAATCAAGGGGGTAAATGATGGTGACTAACCCTTTTCACGACTTAATCGTTCTTTTTCAGCTTCTTGTTGGACTTCAATTGGTAATGCTTGATTGATCAATTGAATGTAACTTTCATTTACTTTTCGTACTTCACGTTGTTTTCTCTATAGTACAAAAAAGGACAGATAAGTCAATCAACGTAAAGCAAATCTTGCTCACCAAACGCCATTTGTAGGCAAGATATGTTTTGAAACCAAAACCCAACGTTACCATTGGATAGCCGATACTAAACAATGTATACGTGTCAATCATTTTCCGGAACATTCAAGACACAATTCATACCAATGTGCAGCAAATGGTCGACAGAGATCGATTGTTTTGATTTCACGTAATCGTACTGATGCTTCAAGCCAAACGAAAAGCACCCAGAGCACAACTGTACCAAGACAGATTCCACGTTCTAATCGATAGCAAATCATTAACAATTTCTTACGAAATCCAAAACATCCAACTTTACCTGTTTGCCAAACGTACTGAATCCAAACGTAACTACTTGCAGCAAAGAACAACCATTGAACTGGTAGTAATATATAGCATGTCAAATCGGTTACGAATGCGATAAATACAAAGAAGATTGAGAAAAGCTAGAGCAAAGAAAAGTGTCAGATTGCGTGCGACAATTTGCTTTCGAGTCAACTAACCAATCCTTGGTATTTAAAGGAATCACAAATACTTCGTAAAACAAGCCAAAACGGCCAAAGAAATTCAAATCGAAATTCTAATAAAAAGTCAGCTGCCATGATAATACCCCATATACAAACAAATTTCAAATACATGAAAGCACTACAATTGAAAACAGCAAATATTTGTATTTAAGCAACTCTTACTCAATTACCTTCCATATATCCCATCAGTGAGACGTGAACGTCGAGGAGATTTGCGTATTTTGACGCTGTCGAAATTGGACCTTCGTTTCATTGCTGTTATAGAATACAAATGATAATATTGTCATAGACAAAACTAGAAGGAAATAAAAGAAATGAGGTTTCCTTTGAACAATTTCAAGAGAATACACAATAACAATTTTTCATCGATGAGAATAAACGGATGGATTGCAACAGAACAGAATGGAAAAGGAAAGATCGACATCAACGTGACTTCTATGGCTCTATAGGTTGACGAGCGAGAATGGTTGTGTAATTATTCACTCTAGATGTCACTCGATCACGGTAATACATTTTCTTAGATTTCTCAAAATGAAATTTACCATAAATACACTTTAGGAAAACTCCATATCATCAATTATTGTTTATCACAACGAAAGTTAATCATTTAGTAATAAAAGAACAAGGAGAACTTTGGTTCTTTGTCTATTTCTATATACGCGTTAAGTATTGTTTTGTACATTATTCTTCGTTACAAATAACAACATCTGAATATCGTCCCCATAGAGAAAGAAAGCAGAATAATGGGGAAAATTTTTGCGACAATCTGTCAATAATTATTATCGACCAGAACAAGCCATATTCATTCTACTCTATCATTACAATTTCATTAGTACACCAGCATCACCTGTTTCTTTCTCAACCATCGTTAAAAGAAGCAATTCATGCAAACTATCGTTGATACGCATGGTCAAAATATGAAATTGAACAAAGCGACTGCTTAGATAAGTAAATTTTAACAATTCATATTGAACAAAAAAAAAACTGACAGAATAAATTCATTAGACAAAAAGAAACTGTATATCAGCATTTTACGAGAAACATCTGCGAATAATCAAAAAGAAAACGAAATTGTAGAGAAAGAAAACGCTCTCTTGAATAAGTAGACCAAATGTTAGGACTTATATACAAAAAAACGAACACAGACAGTTACGCGTATAAATCTGCTCCAGAAGGTTTACTTCACATTGATAAATTATGCATTTTTTGGTGTTGCATACATTGGCGACTCGTATTCGGATTCCTGTTGTTCAACTGCTCGTTCATTATTTGGATTAATGACATCGTAAATAACATCTTCCTGTTCATTCGTTGGTTGAGGTACATTCAAATCCACATCTTCATAAAGGAGAGAGTTATTATCATGTTTTGGTTCGTTCTTGATTTGAGTTAAAGGATCTTGAGAATAGATATTCGAGTTTTGATTTGCTTCGGTATCGATTTGTTCCTTGGTATTGAATTTGCGTTCCGACCGACGATAGGATGAATATGGTGATGGGCAAGTCTTGAGATTTTCGATGAAAATTTGTTTCTCTTGACTATCACGTCTTTCATTAATATTCACATGTTTCAATACCGACGGAGGAACGTATTCTGCTTCATAATTATTCATCTTTTTAAGTTTCTCATCATTCGATACAGATGAAACATCAAGTTTCGATTGAACTGTTGTATTCAATGTAACTTCATCGCTGACATCCGTTGTATTAAGGGAGACATTTTTTGTTCGAGTAGGAAAGAATGAATTGAATGTATCGGTTAAATACCGAACTCGACGATCATTACGTCTAGATATGAGAAGAAACATGTATGAAAATAAATGTTAATTAAACTTTGTTAATCCTACCGTTTGTAAAGTATAAATGCACAGAGAATAATAAAAAGTATTGATGATAGAACAACAACCAATAAAGTCATGCCAATGTTATCTAAATAGGCGCATTTGGCTCGATCTTGTCTTATTTTCAGATGATTAAACTTACTTGAACGTTGATCATTGCTGATCAGCGCAGCACCACGTGGTACAACGGATGAAGCTAAGAATTCATCATTGGAAAGAACAACTGGTGTTGTTGATAAAACTTTTTCTGTTGTTGTTGTTAATGGATGAGCAACACGAATTGGTGTGACTAAATGTTTACAAAATTAGTTCACCTCGATCCCAGCTCGAATTCTTCACTTACCGATAAAATAAAGTAAGAAACCATTGTACGGTCGTTTGGTATTAGCGAAGTCTGACTTGAACATCAATGAGGCTTCGATAACATCGTCGAATATCGGTGTATATGGTGGCCGACTACCATACATCTTCTCTCCGCTATTATTAATTTGTAACCAATCATTGATACGGGTAATGCCAAGTAATCGAAGAGCACTCAGACCTTCAACATCGAAATCTAATGCATAAATTTTCAATCTGAAGAACATATAATTCATGGGTAAAAATCACGTTTTGCTTTAGAGAAAAGGATGTTATTACCGATGACCTTCCGGTGGCGATGGAACTGTTTTTGAACATGTACGACTATTCGGATATCCTCCTGGATAATTGGGCGTATGAATAAATCCTTCATTCACATCATGCAACGATTGTAACGAACAGATATCAATTCGAGGTAATTTACTCGAATAAAAATCTAAACCAAACTTCATGAATGACTTTCAAAAATCAAATTGATTCATACCTGGTACACATGAATAATCGACATTAATACTTTGTCCTGTAAACGCACAATTTGCCTGTTTACCAACTATAAACGATGGTCTTTGAGTCAGGTTATTATCAATCGTACATGTTTGTTGTCCATTACATAAACGACTTACAACATCACGGCGATATCCGATGCAACGTGATGGAGCATACAGTGCTCCACCCTCCTTTTCTTCATTTAAACTTGGACATTCAGATGAATAGGTCACTTCTAAAATAACTAATTTCGCTTCATCGGGACATTTCAATGTAACCGATGTTTCACATGTGTAACCAGACTGTAATGAATCTAAGTATTCAAAACGAAAGCGGATTCGAAAAGTTTTCATCAGATTGAACTTACATGAAAAATTGAATAGAGTGAATAATAACAATACAAAGCAGTAGGTAGAAATCATTCTATCTGAAATCTAGATAATCAACAAGTAATTGATTTTGTATGTCTGTTTTGTTGTTGGCGAAGAAAAAATGTTCGTAGAATAGAACGACGTATTTTTTATCCTTGATAAACGAAGTATTTGCGTGAGTTTGACGAAAGAAAAAAATGCAATACATCATCTCCCTTCTCTTCAGTATGCTCTTTGTACACGATTTCGAGAAAAATAAGAGAGAGGGAGAAATGAGTCAATCTGACTAGAAGAACAAAATAGGATGAAATGTATATATTTGTCTGTGTAATCATTTACCTTTGAAATTCGATCGATTACTGAAGAAAACAGTTCAATGCAACAGGTCCGATCACACTTGTCTCAATGAACGTCCTAATCTATTGCTGTTGTTTGCACAAACACACGTTTGTGTGATGTGACCTCTGTTTATTTATCATCGTCAGGAAAAAAAAGCGAAAAATGTAAATCCCTTGGGTTGAAATAAATGTGAACGAACGTTTGAAATTTCTTATCACTTCGATAAAAGCGAGCGAATAAGATGAATAATGTAGAATATGGAAGGAAGGCGCAGAAATTCGAATTGAACTTCGAGATTGTATACAATGCGTGTTCACACGGTCAACACTCTCGAGAAGAGACGAGAAAATGAAAGAAAAAGAGAGAAAGAAAGAAAAGGAAAGAGAGAGTTTAGAGCGGACGGGTGAATCATAACAGAACGAAAGAAAAAGAATAGGAGAATCCTGTTGGTAGACAATAATTGAGGTCATTATCAGTAGATTTATACATATAGCATATTGTTAAACATGATTTTTCTCAAACAATCCTCTAATTGAGTAAAGTAATCGAGTTCCTCACAAAACCATATTGAAATTATCCTTGAAAATTCTCATCATTCAATCTAGTATTTATGTTTAATAGTACCAGCTGGTACTTTTTTCGCTCAATATAACAATTGACATTCATTTTGACACATCTTGTGTTTATATATTTTTCGTCGCAGCAAGAAAATGAAGAGAAAAGAACAAAGAGTGACAAAGAATGATAGACAAAGATAGAGTCAGTGTGTTTTAAAAGACAGCAGAGCAGACAGGAGAGAAAGATATAGAACAGCAAACAAACAATCGAACACGGAGCGTGTATGTATGAAAAAGAAAAGAAACAGAGCAGAGTAGTACTAGGCCGAGAAAGAACATACATACACAACATCCATCCATAAGATCAAGTAAACGTTATTTGTATGACCACACAAAAATACATTTCTCAAAAAAAAATGTACACATACAAGAAGGATATAAATAAGAAATAATAACAACAAAAGATATTTGCAAAGATTTCCTCGTTTTTCTTTGTCTTTCCTTTCTCGTGCTCATTCAAAAGTGTACATTGGAGTTTTTTTGTCTTGGTAAACAGATTTGGTTTTCTTCTAATACTAAGGCCAAACAAACAAGAGAGCGAATGGAAGAATCTGTACAAAGTAGAGACTATACATATGAAGAAATAGAGAGAGAGCAAGAGAGCAACATATCAACTGTTGTGCAATGAACAATAGTGCAAAACATCTGTAAGAGTCCGTCCAACATTTGAATCAATAACATGTGACGTTGACAAGTTCAAGATTCGATCTTCGTATCGTTTCATTATTTTGATATTATCCGTATAACTAACAATCGAAAGTAAACATGTGGCTGCACGTTTTAACATATCACTTGTAGTAAATAAAATTTGTTCAGCATGTTGAGCGTTCGATGGTTGAGTCGTCAAACGGATAATATAGTCAGGACCATAACGTGCCATTAATTCATTAGTTTTCATTTCATAATCTTCGAGAAAGTTGATCAATAATGATATCGCATATGGAATATGAGCGACGACATTCGTAGCCAATGAATCACAGCGTACTAATGCATTCAAGAGAACAATAGCAAATTCACGTTGAATATGTGATTGTGGCCGAGGATAGTTCGTATAATAATGTGTTGATGATGCTAAAGATGGTGGATGCCAGTTGGAAATGCCACCCCCAATTTCGTCAACGATTAACCAATCGGTTAAAACATGAAATAATGAAACAATTCGATAGAATGGTGGTGTAGCAAGAATGAAATCCATATTCATTTCATGAACACTCAATTTTGTGAGGATTTCGATTGCTAA